ACTCTGCAGTCTGCAGTCTATATTTTGTATCCGGTCTGCAGTCTGCATTTTGTAGTAACAGGTACCGTGGCACCAATACAGTTTATTTTTAGTGACATTTATTCACACAACATACATAATCTACCACAAAATACCTGTGTGTGAGGTAATTCGACATTTTCGTTCTTTTCTGCGTTAATACTCTTTCCTTTTGTAAGAATGTAGACCACTTACAATGTTTCAAGTAATCCACCCACCCTACAAAAAATAACTCTTGCATGCAGAGCATGCTTGTGTTTTGAAATAGGTGTATGCCCTTAGCCAGACTTGAGCTCACTATTTCAGTCTACTACACCCATAGTATCACTACACTTGATTCCAAGGATCCAGTACCATCCAGGTATCCCAGTTACCCTGCTCACAGGGTCTAGTTTTGGTTAAACGCTGAGGGGATTTCTTGACACGCACCTGACACCGACATTTCCCACGCTTTTCATGCATAACCATACCAGCAGACTTTTCGTAAAGATGAGCGATGTGTTTGTTCTTTACAGCAATATTCTAATAAAGAATGTAACTTTTCTGCTCGAAACAAGAACGCTAGATCTATTTTTTATTGTAAAGAATTGTTCTAGTAGCACAAAAGAGCACTTGTATGGTTGTTTTAAAGCCTCCCGAGAAGGAGTAGAGGAAGACGGTAAATTTTGTTTGGCTCGCGTTGGATTGTTTGACGAGCGCGGAGAAGATCTCACAATTTGTCCGGAGCACAGGAACGAATTTGGCTTGGGATGGCGGCCAAGTAAAGTTTGTAAATATCCTGAGCATCAGAGCAAATAGAAACCGTACAAAGGGATATCCAGGGAGATGTCGAGAAAAATATACTAACACTTCGATGTGCTTTGTGAGACTGGACAAGGTGACTCATTGTAATTATGTTGTGCCGGAATACCGGCTACATTTTTGAATGAACACAGCCACAGCATGAGATAAAATATAAGTTTTATCATGCTTCCGAGTTAAAATAGTTTTATTGTTTTGGTTTTCTGGGGATATGTAGGAATGTTTATGAGGAGACAACTAGTGATATACAGGTAAAATGCTGTGAAATTAAAATATTGGTGCTTTTCTAAACCGGTAGTCATCCCAATAAATTTAGTTTTAGGCTTTTATGTAACAATGAGGCAACATTTATAGGGGACTCCTACTGCCGAGCATTCTGAAAAACACCAGGGGGAGGATATACCCCCAAAGAGATCCGCAAGAGTGCAGGTGAGTATTTGAACTGCTGCACCCGCAACAATAAATTGATTACGTACAACCAGCTGAATAAATATAAAAAAAATTTAAAAACATGTGAACATCAACAGTGTCGAAGCGCAAATCATTATGGATGTACTTTTTAGGAGGGCGTGGTGGGAAAAAAAGCGGACTTATTTCCGTCAAACTATCGGTAATTGGAAAATGTTCCTGCATTATGCAATTACATCCAATATTAGTATGACCGAAACAATGCCAAGTAGGCCTTTCCAGATTCTGTTCAGGACCTTTTTAGTAACTGTTTAGTCAGAGAGCAACTTCTAGCAACTTTTCAGAACACTAACACTTTTTTGGTAACTTTTGGGCTATTTTGAGTCAAAACGCTGAATAATCCCTTTTTGTTGGGGTAGCCTGTGGACTGTGTGTAAACTAACTGGCGGACGCCACGTTGTCTTCCGAATACGAAGAAATCGAAAACCCCATTAAAACTGCAGTTAGCAGGGGAGCTTCGCCCGTGGAACTTGAAAAGGCTTCGATTTCCCGAAAGTGGAAAGTAATTGTGAACAGTGGTCAATACAAAGCTAATCGAGAGCATAAGAATCCCAACTCCAAAACGTCTGTTTGGTCTCTCGAGTGTGTTCGTGAACAGTTAAGAATCAATGCTTGCCAAGAGACACTCGCTCAGAAAAAGAGCACTGTTGCGAAACACGTGAAGTCAAAAAAGCACTTGAATGGAATCTTAAGCATCGCTAAAAGTAAAAAAGATAGTCAAACTATTCTTAAGTGCCTACAGAAGCAAGACAACCGGGATCATGCGAGTGGCTCGACTTTACCCTCTGATATGAGACTCTTTCGATACGAGGTAGTAGAGACGCCCCTTTTGGCAGGAATACCCATTTCGAAAGTAGATATTCTGCGCCCTCTTTTCAAAAGATATGCAAAAAGGTTAACTTCAAGTAGCCATATGAATAGCCTTATTCTAGCTGTATTGGAAAAAGAGAAAGAGAAACTGAAAGCTGAGCTCCACAACGTGAAAAAAGCTTCTATAATATTTGATGGGACGGCACAACTGGGTGAGGCTCTAGCAATTGTGCTACGTTTTGTGCGGGAAGATTGCAAGCCTACGCAACACCTTGTGCGCCTAGAGGTTCTTGCTAAGCCTCTCAAGGGTAATGAGTTGGCCCAGAAACTGATGACATGCATTGCTATTAATCACAACTTCGGGCCAAACATGGTATTAGCTGGGATGAGAGATGGTGCCACAGTAAAAAGTGCTGCCATAAAGCAACTGCTTTTCTTTTCTCTAAACATAAAGGATGTCATTTGTTTCTCTCATACAATCAATAATGTGGAATGCCATTTTGTATTCAGAGTTTTGGACACATTTTTCCGCCACTGGGTAAATCTATTTGCCCATAACTATAATGCTAAACTTCTCTGTAAAGAGAGAACTACAAAGTCGATGTGTTCTCACAGTAATATACGATGGTGGAGCAAGTGGGAGCTCTTGAAACAAGTATCTGATTACTTTGGTGATGTGGCACCCTTTCTGCAAGATAATGAGAATCTTTCTCCTCTAATTCGTCAGCGTCTTCTGGAAATAGTCAATGACCCTGAAGATCTACAAGACCTTCGTCTGGAACTAGGTGTTATGGTTGACGTTGGTGTTCACTTCGTCAATGCTACATATTATCTTGAAGGAGATAGGCCACTGATATTCACCGGCTTTGAGCGTTTATCAACTGTCTTGCATGCTGTTGCAGTAGGCCACTATCCATCTACCTTAGCCATTGCTACAGAGATCGCCAATGGTGATGCTGCTCTTCAAAATTGGCTGATTACTCAGGCAAAGGATTGTGTTCAACCTGAATTGAACTTCTTTCAACAGAAGTTCAATGTCTAGTTCCTCACAAACGTCCATGCTTTCAAGGCAGCACGTCTCTGTTTCCCAGTCCAAGTTTCCGCACTGAGACCAGATGCTCGTTCCCTAGAAGACTTAAAAAACTTTCCATTTGTGCCAGCATAGCTATCTTGGCAACAGAGCTGCCACTTTATCTCGCCGCCGCTGATGGCATTATGTGTGATAGTGAAGAGGAGAAACTCGTGTGGTGGGCAGCATCGGGACACTCTTCCACACTGGGTTGCATTGGTCAGGAAGTTATCACTCGTCCAGCCCAGTTCTGCTGCTGCTGAGAGGGTGCATAGTTTCCTCAATACTCTGTCAGCACCACAAGAGGGAGTTCTCGAGGACTACATAGAGGCATCTGTGATACAATAATAATCAAAGAAAGCTCTAGATGTGTTATTAGCAGTTTTTCGCTTCTGGTAGATCCAGACTGTGAATCTGTGATTACACTGTTAATTCTTATCAAACGAAAACAACATTTAGCTAGATTTGTAAACCAGATTGTTACACTTACTGTCTAACTTTTTGGCTAACTAAAGGTTGCTTAATTTGTTGTAACTAGTTACTTAGTTGTACCTTAATGCTGATTACAAAGCAATTGTTATTAAAATTAGACATGCTGTCTTAAAAATATTCGAGCAACTTTACAAAATTTTTGAGCAACTTTTTAAATTTGAGCAACTTTGGCATATTTTTAAGCAACTTTTTAACTTTTTCGGAGCAGATTCTGGACAGGCCTACTACCGGGTACATATTTCTAGGCTTGTAAGGCACCCCAAATCCTCCCCACTAGTATGAGGGACGGTCCATTATTCACTGCCAAAGTTTGGGGGTGGTGGAGGGGGAAGCTGAAAACTTTTGAAATAAGTTCTTTACAGAGCCTTAATTACTGAAATAAATTATTTGCACGTGCAATAAACCAAAGTAAATTGTTTGCAACCAAAAAGTTTTCATCCCCCCGCCTGAAAAAATAACGATCCGTCTCTAATACATGGATAATTTTCTTGTATTTCGCCCTTATGCGAAGGCAGCACGCTGGTTTAGAACCACTAAACAAAAATATAAGCATGTTAACAGATAGAAGGATCAGCCCAATCCGATTCCAGCTTACTCAACCTCTAGCAGAGTGCGCAAAGAGTACACAGTATCACATAAAGCGTAAAGCGGTAGAAGTTATCACGTACCACCAGCCTTAACTACATTGCCCATGAGCAGTTGAAAGAGTTGTTTGATCTTGTCACCGTTCAGACCACAGGACCAGAAGACGAAAGTCCCGGCGACAAGGTGATAAAGGAGCTGATTTCCCTC